GTCCCCCTAATACGAAGGACAAATTCCAAAACCAAGCCCCCTGCCTCTTAGGACGCTCCACTCTCGATCACAAAGCGATCCCATTGGGTTAAAACAGGTAACAGATCTTTCCACAGTTCCCCCCACTTCCTCGAGAAGGACACCAAGGCTACATGAAACAGATCGTCAGGATAACCCAGTCTCCACAGCTCGCACTTCAAGGAAAGGAGAAAAGTGAACTTGGATCCCCTCACTGTAGAATAAGTCTGAACCCGGTGAAGAAACGAACCGATAACAACCATCTTTTATTGCCGATCGGAATAAGACACAAAGCCCTGGATGCACTGAAACACTAATTTCCCGTTCAAACCCTCACGCTGGTTCTTCATAATCGAAAAACACTGAACTCCCTCTGTCCCTTCATTTACCTTGAGGACGCATCCCAAATAGTCCCAACAGCTGCCCTCATTCGTCCTTTCCAATACCAAGTTATTGTCGTAACACTTAGAAAAGGCTTCCACAATACTCTTTGCCCTACTTTTTGAGACCAAATCATTGACCTTGTGTATGACGAAAATAGAAACATCATCAATTAAACGAAAACCATTAAGCAACCTTCTGTCAACCCCCAACTGATTAAGAAAAACGTGCTCGTTGTAGGCGCAGAGAAGACAAGTGAGGGCCGGACTAGAAGACTTTCCCATAGAATTCCAATCGTTTGACGCAAGCAACGACTAGCAACTGACACATAGGTATGCTCCAGTTCAAAGGAAACGAAGCTTAGAATATCAGAAAAGAGAATCCTCTTCCAACCTTCCCCAACCTTGCCTCGCAGCAACTTAGCACCTTTTCCTTGCTTCTTGACGGCCACACCCTGAACACCTTCAAATTCCCAATATTGAATCACCCATTGGAGTGCACAGAGGATAGAATGGTGCGGAAGGTTATAACACATCTCTTTCACATCGAAAAAGGCACCCAGCAGACACTCATCACCGCGCAGTTTTTTGTTAATCTTAAGAATCTGATTCCGCAACTCATCTGCACTCTTCAAATTCAAGTTTGACTCCGAAGGTAACTTCCAAATCAATTGATTAACCGCTCGGAAAATCAGACGTCCACCAGTAGCCGCACCTTCACAATAGGAAGGATATATTGGACACCATCGGGAGACGTCCTTGTGTTTAGGAATGCAGTAGGCTTTACCCAATTCACCACTAGCTTTCCACTTGCCAACTTTTTGCAGCCGCATCTCCTTATAGCCAATACCACATCGTTTAATAATTTCAAGCTCCTCTTCTGCACACAACTGAAACGAAGGGGTACCAAAGAACAGGCGTCCCATCCCATCATGATATACTAGGGGACAACATACAAAAGTATCCCCCAAATTATGATCTAAGGGAGAACACACAAGTCCCTCAAGATTACGACTGATAGGGGAAAGTTCATCCTCACCAATAATCAACGAAGAAGAAGTAGATTCACACAGAAAACAACCTCGAAGCAAATCCTTATCCAGAGATGCATCAGAAACAGACGGAAGAGAGGGATGTCCATCAAACGCAGAGATAACTGCCTTATGCAAGGTATTAACAAAATTGATACGGGAAGGTTTGAGAAGGTTCTTCGAGTTCTTCAGCCAATCAGGAAAAAATGAAACCTCACTCAAGCGGAAGGAAACGTGACCATTTACTCGCGGAAACTCCGGATCGCATTGTATGCAACTACAAGAGACCGTGCTCATCCTAGAATACGAACGAAAATTATGAATCTTATCACCAACCGACCGATTACGACACCAAACAACACACATTCTTCGTATAAGCATCAACTTCCAGGCAGGCGAAATCTCTATCCTCATAATCAACGATGCACAAAGCTTCCTCCCTTTGACTTACTCACAAGATCATCGTACACCAGTCTCACAACTAATCTCTCCCGCACGTGCAATCCAAACTGACAAAGGATAGTCTTCGAGAGGATCAGCCTCAATCGCCCCTGAGTCCTCTTTTCACTAAATGTTCGTATCGTAGTGTAAGCAAAAATCAACCGCTCTAAATCCCAACCGGGCAGCTCTCTTCTCTTAGATGGATTGCTGAGAAGATCAGAAAGGGGGACTTTTAACGCCAAGGATCGACTCAGAACCGTTACAACATTCTCCACTTCAAACGTCATTTCCTTATCCAGCCATCCTTGAGCGTGTCGTAACTCAGATCTACCAAGATTACAAGATAGAACCGACCCCCCATACATTCGTTTTAACACCTTCCATTTATCCACAAGACGCTGACCTCCATTGCAACAAACGGTAAATCTGCAAATTGACTTTGTTCGACAATATTCAAAGATGCGCAAGAGACTAACTGAATTAATCCCCACACTAGAAAAGAAGGTGATCAGCTTATCATTGCTATTCACAACCTGCACGCCATGCTTACTTTTCAACCGCTTCCTTTCTTTGCTACCGACCCTTGTCCTTTTTGACTTCCTTCGCTTGTCTCTCACATTCAACACCAGACATAACGTACGAATAAAAAACTTTTCCGTTTCTACCAAATCGTCATCCGAACACACTGCTAACGGTACAATAGTGTAGTGTTGCATGCCATATCTCCTCAACCATCTGTACAGTCTTTCATTCCTTCGTCCTGATTCTACGCAAACTTGTTGACAAGCTCTATACGCGTGCTCATTCCATCGCACGAACAGATCCCGAGCCGTACTGCCAACATACATATGCCTACACCATGGGGATACCAAGGCATAAACTACTGGTTCACAACCAGAGTCAAAATCAAAACCGTTAACAAACGACTGGGTGACATAGCCACTGAGCTTGCTACACCATGGAATCTGCCCTTCAATAATCAACATGCACGTGATCACACTAAACAACCGCACCAACGTCTTACATCTTAACCTCTCATAAGATAGAGATCGTACCTCTCGACAACGATTCGCAATAAGCCATAAATTGGCCGCGTCCGGGTATGATCCTAGGAAGTGGCCGAATCATCCTCGTTCTCCTTACCAGATCTGCCATCCTCATCATCGGTCACCTCATGAATGACGACACCCTTGTCTTTCGCAGGTTCCCGTTGTTAAAAGCTCGGTTGGCACGGAGCTGAGCAAGCTCCTCTCTAGTTACCTCGAGATTGACGTAAGTCACTCCTTCCTCATTGCAAATTTCCATAATCTTCTCTTTCTTCAAGTTACACAAAAACTTCTTTGCATCCTTCAGAAATTTGTCCTTGCCAATTGAATTGCAAACCGAACTTGCTACCGCCTTTCCTTTATCAGTCTTCCTGGTCGTCAAACGAGTCGCCTCGTCCAATCGCTCTTTCAGATTGGATACGGTGCCCTGATGTGTCCGTTGCATTTCCAGTTGTGCCATCCTTTCACGCAACCGCTCCATCTCCGTCTCATCTTTCTTTAGTTTTTCCCTGAGTTTGTCCAACTCATCTTTTGCATCCCGTCTCTCCTTGACTTCTTTCAGTCGCATGGCTTTCAAAAGCTCGACCTCCGCCTCATGTCTCTCCACCACGGCTTTAAGATGTTCATCCACCTTCTTTTTGCTACTGATACCCAGCCCCACTGGAGTAGTTCGAGCCCTCTGCCTCACTTGTGTAGTGGGAGATATCCCAACTGCTATCGAACCTCACTTATTACCTGGCCTAAGCGCCTCATGCTTCCAGGCTTCAGCATCGGCAACTGCTTCCTCACGAAGCCTATGCTCTTTCGCGATTTCTTCTTCCAATACGGCGAACCACCTTTCAGACGCCATCTTCATTTCCGCCAATTCTCGTTGCAACATTGTAACCTGCTCCTTCTCGTTGGACACCGTGGAGGGTCCTACTAAGTTAGACACGCATTGCCCACAGCGCAACACTTGAATCTCTTCACGCAATTTCGTCAATTCGTCACTGTTGTTATTCTTTCCCTCCAAAGCCTTATTAATTTCCTCCAATTTCACATTCAGCTCCTTATGCAGTTCCTCTCGATCACGCTTCTCTCTTGCACGTCGTTCTTCTTCTTCTTTCTCTCGTTTCTTCCTTTCCTCCTCTTCTTTGATTGCCTTCTCTTTAGCCTCGTCTGCATCGTGCTTGACCTTGATCTTGCCGACGATTTCCTCCAAACTGTAGACACGTTGCCGCAACCCCCCAATGTTGGAGTAGCCCTGATTGTGATATCCATTGTAGGCTGGAACCATCGTACCAACACCATTTCCATTCGAGGGCATAGTCAACAGCGGAGTCTGAACCGGCACGATAGCATTACTAGTAGACGCCTGTTGTCCGATTAACCTACGATCAAGGAGGGGACAGTACCTAGCAATATGCCCAGTCTGGCCGCAATTATAGCACACGGGAGGATTAGTGTTAGTCGCCATTTCGAAACCGATCGCGAACTCGAAGCCACACAACAGTAGTCTAATTCCTACCTCGGTTACTTCGTGAGTAAAGGTTGCAATTGTAATGCTTCCAATTGGTAATGAGATGATGCATACACAAAACCAAACACATGAAGAAGAGGGTTAGGAAAA